TATGGTCCAGGTGTATCGGTAGTTATATGGTCCAGGTGTAGTTTCTATGGTCCAGGTGTTTCGGTAGTTATATGGTCCAGGTGAAGTTTCAATGGTCCATGTGTACCGGTAGTTATAAGGTTCAGGTGTAGTTTCTATGGGCAAGATGTAGCGGTAGTTATATGATCCATGTGTAGTTTGTATGGTCCAGGTTTAGTTTCAATGGGAAGAGAGACAAAAAAGAGATATCTGGATGAATGGATACTTTATTGATCCTTTGCAGGACATTACAGTCACATGGAGAGTAGTGAGTAAAGACATCAGCTGAGTGAGGACATGGTCAGTTTATCCTCCAGCAGTCTAAGCCTATGACAACATGGAATAGCTCAAGAAACCCAAGCCAACCCTAACAATAGGAATGATCAAAATGCTTTAAAGCAGAGTCAGTATCACAGACAGAAACTGGAAGTTGGGAGCCTGCTGAAAACCTGTGCCTCCCACTTTAGAAACTCTAGGAACCACGAGTAAACCTGCTGTAGGAGACACACATTCCTTTTAGGGTTTTATGTATACTGTATTTCATTATATATCACTGTAAAATCTTTGCAGGCGTCAATATGCGCGGGATAACAAGCACGAGACTTATTCAAGTTTCGCTCGTGCTTATAAGTCCTGTCATCCACGTGACACAACACAGGCTCCCTATATGGCAATTTCCACATAGATCTAAATCAGATAGAATGAGCTCACGCTTTGTGTTTAAGAACACTTTTAGAAAAGAAGCTTTAAGAGTGACTAAATGTAAATATCAGAGTGGTCCAGACAGCAGCAGTCTGACTGGAGTTCCCAGTTTGTTGCGCTTATTGCGGTGTGTTCCTGTGTTTGAGCCCCTCCTCTGGTCGGTTCGGTTCGTTCGCTGGAGGTTGATGTCACCGGCAGAGTCTTCAGGACAGAACACAACTAGGTGAAACTGGTCAGGGTGAGACGCTCCGGAGTTAAAGTAGGCGATGTTGCTGCTAAGATTTGGCCTGTGGACTCTGTGGGAAGGCTGCTGATACCGTCCAGCGGGCTTGTAGGTATTGTCAGGCTGAAAGGTTAAGGCAGCGTCATTATTATTATTTTTTAGATTACTTCTAGGTACACACAAAAATGTCGTCTCCAAGTCCGGGCAAAAGGCGAATGGATACCGACGTGGTGAAACTGTATCCTTTACAGGTCACAAACAAGCCGAAACAGTCAAATGACACATCTTTCAATGGAAAAAGTCAGCTGTTTTTATGGTGATTAATTACATAATTTGTTCCAGACGGCTGTTGTGTATACTGTGTGAGTGTAAGTACTTTGATATTACTGTATATGGTGTCTATAGCCTGAGCTAGTTAGCTGAATGGCGAAAGCGAGCCATTAATTTTTGGGTTATTCGTCTGAACTCACTTAGCATTAGCTTAGCTGTGGTCGTTCTGTTTGTGTCAATAGCAAATTAGCAACGGAAACTGTGGGTTTGCTACATTTTTATGTACCGGCACGCCATCTGGCCAAAATGTCAGACGGGTGGCGAAATAGGAGTCTTATTTCCTATAGTCCGCCGATATGGGCTGCTACTTAGTGCGCCGTCACGCGCACCAGTTTATAAATGATGCGGACCTAGTTGCAATACAAAGATGGCTGTTAACTCTGTTAGCTTCGAACGTTGTTCGCCCGAGCTTTAAAGCGTTAAGTCGAGCAGCAAAATGTAACCCTTCTAACTGACAACAGGATGTGAAGGATAACCAAGGGGCCATTTACTTAGCGTAAACAGTTTTTTGTAAGAACACTGGTGTAAATCAACGATTTAGTTACGTTTACACTGCGGTAGCTAGCCGCTTAGCATGCTACCGAACAATTAGGATCGATTTGAAGTCGATCTTTAATAAAGTGGATTCACAGCTGCAGTTGATTCGTTGAACAGTAGATCGATAACTTGTCCCCGTTTTTGTTTAATATTTTTAAATGAAAAGTTCTCGAATCACGTTTAAATTAAGACATCCTTTTTTTTTACCACAACAAAGTCACGGTTGGCGTGTTTATCACGAATTATACAGTAAATAAATAAAGCTTAACTGGTGATAAGAGGGAAGAAAGTATGGTTTTCTCCAGGATTATTTTTTTTCTCGTTTAGTCTTGAGTGGTTAGACAGCTCACATCACGTTTCAGTGATTGACAGCCGTTCAGGAAATACTTTTTAATGTATACTTTTATGATGCCATACAATATTTGTAGCCAGCAGCTGAATTTTGTTCTTTTAATTTTTTTTATTATTTTGTTTTAATTTATGTTTGTATAAAAGATTTTCAGTCTGCACGAGCTGAACTGTTTTGTTTTTGTCCTGCAGCTAGAAGCTGCTTTCTGATTGGTCAGCTTGTTACCATCCGGAACATGGAGGAGGGCGGGGCTTATCTCAGCTGATGGGGAACAACAAGCGAGCTGTGGGGCACATGTATGCAGGGATGGGGGCAGGGAGTCCACACAGCAGGACTGAGCACTCACGTTGCTTTTATCCCCACAGGCTTGAAACAACCAGCTAACTAAACTAGTGGCTGAATGTTAGATTTACATATCAAGGCTATAACGCATTGATTTAGCTTATAAAATATTGGATTGGATTTTTTATTGGCATGCATAAAACAAATCCAACACCAATCTTTATGTTTATAGATGTTTCTAAGGCTGAAAACAGCTATAGATGGTAACTAATAAAAATAAAATGATGATTTTGTTAGGGTTTTCAGTTTTTATATTTTTTAGTAAAAAGTTTTCTTTTTATTTAACAAAACAGTTCTAGAGTTGGATTTCCAGACCAGTTTAACCACTTTTAAAGTTGTGTGGTACAGTGAAAGTTGCCTCATATGTGTTCTACATGTTTTTGTTGGGCAAGTTTTACAGCTTTGCACCAATGATGTTCAGAAGATACAGGAGTGGGAATCTTTCAGCACTTCACCAATCCAATTACGATTACAAAGGGCTGGGGTGTGATTAATTCAATTCAGTCTATTTATATAGCACCAAGTCACAATGGAAGATGTCACAGGGCACTGAACAAAAACATTCACATACATTGTAAATGCCAATTAATGAAGTTTTCTATCCAAGGAAGGAAGCCAGCAAAAAAACAAAACAAAATTAACAACATTAAACAATTATTGATGCATTTTGATAATCTTAAAATTCAAAGTGAAAATCACTGTCTAAATGCACAAGCTTTCAAATTTTTTATATGTTAATCTTCTATGATACAAAGAACTACAAAATACACATCATTCAATACCAAAAGTGTACCACACAATGAATCAGCAGAATTAGGTTTTATTACCAACTATTGATGAGTACTCTGGATAGTCTCTGCGTGCGACAGATAGTGAGTCGGTCAAAATAATCACCGGTTGTAAACAAGAATATTTGAATTGGAGACACGACTTACAGACATCAGTCCGCATTAAAGCTCGGCAGAAAGACGAACAAAACAACGATGTTTAAACGGGTTGTTTTTCTCTCAGGCCCTGTTTTCATAACGTTGTTTTTGAGTGAAACTAGCTTTTCTGCAGCAGTTTGGCCGTTCGTGCACACAACAGCATCGCTTGTTTTCTCTGAAACCGAACAATGTAACGTGTCATGATGCGTCCTTAATAATCCAGGTAGATGTTGAAACATTTCATCTTTCATGTAAAAGACTTCTTCAGTCTGGGGAGCCCTGTGTTCAACTGTCTGTCCTACAATGCTGTTATTGCTAGTATCACTCGGCCCTCTGTGAATAGCAAGCGGCCACCAGGGCACTAACGATCAATTGTTAGGTTGATGGGCCTCCTTTTGCATGTGAACAACTAGTTCTGGCGGTCACCAGCAAACTAGTTGATCCACTATGAGATGGTGCTGTTTATATTGTTTCACTTCCTCAGACTGAAGAAGTCTTTTGGATAAAAGATGAAACGTTTCAACACAAGAATCCATCCAGAGGACCAGACTCAACTTTGTTAAATGTAATATATGTTTCCATGTTTTGTAATATAGTTCTAGAGTCAAGCCCCTTCCATTTCTGCACACGCTTGCCAATCACAACACACTGTGTTTTTACAATCTCTCCCCTTTAAAGAATGCGTACCCTCACCACATGATAGTTTGGATTAAAATACAGTAATTTTAAAGCGACTGTAGTTCTGATTGTTACAGCTATCTGATAGTACTGATAGTTCCCTACCTCGTATGAAAACTACAGTGATTCAACGAGCATGGCAATATTCATTAAAACATGTTTTTATTACATTAAGTCGTCACAATAAAAGTAAAAAAAAAAAAAAACGTTTCCTGCTGTAGTTCACATGTAAACAGAAATATTCTGTTCAGTATTTCAGGTATTTTTTTTATTTTGTATCCTTGTATTACGTAGAGCTTGGTTATAAAAACACCATACCACCTCGTGTCTTTGTATTGTGGACAGTGAAAAATATTGTCCATCGTGAGCTTTTCTTGTGTACCCCCATTAGTCTGAAGGAGCCCTGCTGGAGGTTCTGTCTTACCCTTGGGGGAGGATGGGCGTGAGACGGATCTACATTTGTAAAAGGTTTTATTTATAGGATGTTTGCCTGAGGTCACGTTTAAAGCCGTCACGTCATTGTCATTTTTGACTCGCTGTCCATTTTTTAATTGACTTTTAAGTGTCTGGTGTTTGAATATATCAAGATGCCTCGTCTTTTTATGTTCCAACAGCTAGAAGACTAAGCTGTCATCTGTGTGTTAAGAATATTTCATCATTGAAATACAGAGGACACAATAGTTAGGATGACAGAAACAAGATGGAATACCTTGTTTTGATGTTGTCGTTTCCTTATTTTATGTGTAAAGATGATAAAGCAGTAGTTCAGAATAAATGCACTCCATCTTTTTGTGCTGCTTTTGTACATCTGACTCAGTCGCATGCTTTTTTTTCTCCTCTCACCACATTAAAGGTTCAGTTTTTCTCCTGCTTGAGTCTCAAACCACACGGATGATCAATACTAACATGTAAAATTTGTCCTAGTCCACGTGTTTTTATTTTTAAAATGTTCTCCACTTGATAAAATCATAAACGTGCAGGCAGCTGTCAAAGTGGGCAACAAAAAACAGCACAATCTGGAATATAGATTTATTTATCAAAAATGACGTGTCCTCTTTCTGACTGGTGGCTTCGTCACAAACAGAAAACGTCTGTTTTCTTGCACTTTGCACCTTTTTTCTTAACTTGACATCAGCATTGAGAGCAAACATGAAGTCACGATCCTGAGTGGACTCAATGAGTTTGTGGTCAAGTTTCACGGACCGCCTGGAAGTAAGACTCCCTCTGTGTTTCACAGCATTTTATCTGCTTTGAAGAATAATTTCCAGTTATAATTTCTGACAAATAGAATCGTGTTTGATTATGTGAACTTTTTTTTTTTGTTTATTTTAGCACCATATGAAGGAGGTGTTTGGAAAGTTCGAGTGGACCTACCAGATAAATACCCCTTCAAATCACCATCAATAGGTAAGGATACTTAAAAAAAAAAAAAAAAGGCCTATAAAACCCGCTTGGATTTGTGTGTGATTTGATCAAATAAGTTAAAATGATATTTTTTCTTCAGGATTCATGAACAAAATCTTCCATCCCAACATTGATGAAGCGTAAGTAGGACAACTTTAGATGTCTGTGGTTTGAATGTTCAACTCTTTAGGTATTTAGCCTGTTAAATATCTTGTATCACTTCAAGGATGCTCCGCCTCCTTTTGATTACATATGTTTGTTCATTTTATGTACCGTGTCTTCCGCCGTACACGTCTCATCGCTGTATAGAGCTGTCATTTCTAACCTGGAGCCCGGTCCCACCTGACCGGATTCGGACCAGGCCAGGCAATAATAACGTACTTATTGTGTGGGCCGGGTCGGTGTCGGGCTTTTTATTGCGTCAGGAACGCGCGCGGCCAACGATCCAATTATATGCCAACATGGCTTGCCATACAATCACCAGCCGCACACAGCCATTTCACCGTGCGCTGATTAGCCGGTTGAAAGGGATAAAAAGTTCAGTTAAGCTTCAGATGGACTACTGCTAACAACCCATCTGCCCAAATGGACGTTCATTCTGCCTCGGCACTCAGCGGACGCGGCGCGCGGCACTCAGCGGACGCGGCGCGCGGCACTCAGCGGACGCGCGTGGCCAATGACCCAAACAAGTGAGATCACAAAATATCTGACTTGTCAGAGCAGGATACTGGCAGAAGCAGGGGAAGCATTTAATGCACTTTGAGTGCTCCTCAGCTCAGATCTTCTGCCTCCTTTACTCACCTGCACGTTCGCTGACCGTTAATAATGGTTGGTGGTACAAGCAGTCAAAGCTTAATTAAAAATGTTGGGGGGTTTTCAGGTTTGTACCTGTAATTACTGTTAATTCGTTGGATCAAGTGGGGTGCGGAGATGATTGCTGTGGGCTGGGGCAGGGCCGGGTCAGATTTTTTAGATCCGAGTGCAACTCTACCGCCGTATAAGTCGTATCAGTCCAAATATGTCTAATAAAGTGAAGAAATCCATAAATGTGTTGTTTCGCAGTATAAGTCGCATCTATTATGCGTCACTGCTGACAACCTGAAAATGTAGGCTGGTGTGCCAAATGGCGACCGCGGGAGCATGCACGGGAGAACTTTAACAAGAATTTAACAAGATTAACACTTAAAAACAATATTTGTTTGCTTGAAATTATAGCAGAGTTGTATTTCTGTTTAACTTGTCCTTAATAAATGAACTGTGACAGTCAAATCAGCCGCATTTCACCTGGGCAGCGCTGCGAAACGCGGCTGATTTTACATTTGCTCTTCTGGAGCGAGACGAAGGTAGCTATGTATGGCAAGCAAAGTGTCTCATTAATAGCCACTTTTACCTATTTATGAGACACTTGGCTTGACATATCAGTCGATGGCCCTCTAGTGGCTGAAAATGTTAATGTTCAATATTTTCCATGTCAGAAAGAATGAATTCATCAGATCTCAGCCAAAAATTTTGTTGTAAAAATGGAAAAAAAAACATAAATGCGTTGCTTTGCTGTATAAGTCGCAGGCATGCTAATTTATGCAAAAAGGTGCGACTTATACGCCGGAAAATATGGTACTATTAACCATTCAGGAAATCTGTCCTGATGTTTAGTTTTGTTCACTTTTCAGCTCAATTTAAAACTCAAGGTGTTTTATTGTCTATGATTTATTCACCGTCTTTTCTTTCTCTCAGATCAGGAACGGTGTGTTTAGATGTCATTAACCAGACATGGACGGCTCTTTACGGTAGGTTCTACTCACATCTGTAATGGCCGTACAAACTGACCGACACCAACAATCAATTAATACACAAAGTGAGCACTTCTGCATCTTTACACTGCGACTCTGTTCGATCAAGTCAGCTGATAACTGGTGCAGGTACTGAGCTCATTCACTCAACGCTGACTGTTATGGAAGTCCTGACGCTGTTAAAAGTTTTTGGATTGTTTGTCTCCCTTTGTTGAAGAGAGTGTAATCAGCAGTGCAGTAAGATCACCTCTAGGTCACTCCTTTAAATCAGCAGCGTCTGGGTGAATTTATTCAGAACAAGATAATACACGAGATAATCTTGTACATTTAATTGAAACGATTCAATCAAAATGTGCGAATGCACAAAATAATCTTGACTACACTGGGTAATAATGAAGCTGCAGAGATGAATTTGTAAAACAAATTGATCAAGTTGGTGGTGATTATTAACCTGAAGTTTTACTTCGTGAGACCAAAGGAGAGGCGTCAAACAATAAATTAATTAAAACAGTAAAACTGTCGTTAAATCAACCATGTACTGTGTCCTAAAGGTTTATTAAAACATATAAAACCACCATTTTGTTCCGTTTTCCCACCAAATCAGCACAACTTGGTTTCATTTTGTACAACTGAAAACAAAACTATGGTCCTATAACTATATCCAAAGACAGAAAGCTCACCCAATAATTTCTGTCAGTCCAATAATCTAACTCTTTGTCCGTATGTTCTTACAGTTTGATTTAGCATTATTTCCATTTAGCCGGCAGGCAGTGAACTGGAAATAACAAGTAAATTTTAGAACATAAAGTTGAGTTGTTTGCCTGGGTTGCTTTGGATATTAAGTGATAAAATCCCTGCATAAAGCGAAGTGTCTGCAGCAAGAGTCCTGTTATTGTTTATTATTATTATTATTATTTCATTGGACTTTTCTTAGTTTAGCAATTTGTCACAGCAGACAGTGAAGCTCTCACAATATGTTGATGTTTAAGTGTTATTATTTTAGCTAAATGGTTTTATCGCAGTAACATCTTGTGCACAGACAAACCAACACTACCAAAAACATAACCTCCTTGGCAGAGGTAAGAAATGTTTAATTTAAAACGACACACAGACAACCTGTCAAATGTTTGCAGTTTCTTTAGCTGCATTTTTCTTTGAGTCACTGGGCCGGACTCCAGGCAGTTTATTGGCGCCTCCAGTCGCAGCCGAGCTTCTTCACGCTGCAACATATTCAGCTGTAACAGAGAGGGGAAGCCACCCACGATCTCCACATGGATTCAGAAGTTTTCATTCAGTTCTTTATTTGCAGGGATGAACTTCTTAAAGAACCCGTGCAAAACCGTCCACTACAAAATTACCCGCGCTGCCTGAGACCTGCTCATTGTTGGTTTTCAAACTTCTCTTACTTTAGATAAAATTAAGTTATACTTGGAAAGACATTTGTAAAACTGACGGTACTTAGTCATACGTAGAGCAGCTTTTCCACTGACTCTGCACGATTTGTTTTACTTCTGTAAGACTCTGACCTTGGTTCATGAAACTTTGAACAAAAACAGTGTTTTTCTCTTTGTTTGGACTAATTGTGAAAGTCCAGACTTTAGTTTCTGAAAAGTACATTTACTTTAAAAAATGGAAGACAGCAGAGTTGTAGACTTTTGACATTTATGTTGAACTATTCACATTTATCTCGTCTGTCTAGATCAGTGGTGTCCAGTCCTGGCTCTCGAGGACCAGGACTGGACACCACTCATCCAGATCAAGAAGATGAAACACTTCCAACCTTGTTAACAAAATATATCTTTGTTGCTTGGCCTCTTTATTGTAGAACTTAAACGTCTGGATAAGTGCTGCATAGTTCAACACTTCCACTATTTATGAATAGGCACCACTGTCATCAGTTTTAGATCATAGCTGCAAAACTTGGAGAATTACGTTTTGCATATTTTGCTGCAGAAGAGGGAAAATTGTCAACATACTGCAACTGTAAGCAGCTTTGCTTTAGCATTTTGGAGAAACTACAAAAAGCTCACACTGTATGCAGGCAAAGAAGAAGAGAGCTTAGCTGAAAGCCTTTAAATAAAAAAAGGCAGATTTGCATCACTTCAAATCTGTGATTGCCATTAAAAATAAAAAAAGACAATCTCAATAACAAACATTAGTTGCTACAGTTACTGCTGTAACTGCAAGTATCTTTAAACTGTAAATTCCACTTTTGATACAGGAAAATGTCTACTGATGGATGCGTTCACTAGTCATTTTTAATGTAGCGTCACTCTAGCGACCCCCAGTGGTAGTTGTTGTAGCTGCATGCATTGATGTCTGCTCCTTTTGTCTGCTCACCCATCTTTCTCCTCACTTTTACCAGACCTCACCAACATCTTTGAGTCGTTCCTCCCTCAGCTGCTCGCTTACCCCAACCCCATCGATCCTCTGAACGGGGACGCCGCAGCCATGTACCTGCATCGGCCAGACGACTATAAACACAAAATCAATGGTAGCCTCTCAGTCATAAATGCATCTGCAGTTTCACAAAAAAAACACCCTTTAAAAAAAAAAGTAAATCAGTTTTTAGTAGTTTTCTTTTTTACACCATTTATTTCTTTAGGCTCTTATTAATGCACAAGTTGCAACTTTTTGTAGTAGTTTAAAGAGTTGTCTTTTACGTCAAACACTTAATTTAGTGATCTCTGATGCTGTGGTTGTTTTAAAACTTCAAAATGTGTTTGAAAAGTGCCTCATGAAGCTGCTATGAACACTAATCAGCAACTCGTGTTTCTCTTCCAGAATACATCCAGAAATACGCCACAGAGGAGGCTCTAAAGGAGCAGGAAGAGGGCGGGGGCGACTCGTCTTCCGAGAGCTCCATGTCGGACTTTTCGGAGGACGAGGCTCAGGATATGGAGTTGTAGTGAAGGAGGAGCCGCCTTCACCCCACCATGGATTAAAGAGCAGAAACTCAGTGCTATATTCGTATTTAAACGAGACAATTTTTTTACGGCAACACGAGGATTTTTATTGCTACACGAGGTTTTGCAGTACGTTTGGGGGGGTGGGGGGATGAAACAAACCCACGTTTAGGAATTCATCACCGTCAGCCATTCCCGCTCTTTTTCATCCAGAGACTCTGCTTAGATCAGAACAATGTGCTGCATTAATTTTGATCTTTTCTCTGCCCGACTGAGTCGGACGCCGCAGGACCGTCTCACCCATTTTTACTACAACCCACCTCTTTTTTTTTTTTTTTTTTTGTCCCCGTTTTCAGTCAACGTCTTTGCCTCTCTGTCAGTTCATGAAGCCTGAGCAGCTTTTTCCCCACACTGCCCCCTCGAGGAGCTGGTCATCACCTTCAAAAGAATTGAAGCGCAGAAAGCCACAGTGTGTGTTCAGCGTACAGACAGGACTGCAGGCGCATCACACACTACCTAATCCCTTCAGCCATGACGAGTCACACAAATGCCACAGTGTGGTTGTGCGATAGCCGCTGATGCTCAGCAGAACTCAGGAGAGAGCTTCCTAAATCCCTCTGTCGTTCAGCACCCTCCTCCTCTCCGTTTTAGGAAAGTGTTAGCCCCTCTCTGAGTATCTGCGTACCGTGGCATGACAGAAGTAAAGTGTGTGTAGGCCTTTGTGGAGCTGTATCGCTGTGGACACGACATCGCCCGGCTGGGGTTCGGTCGGGATCATCGTTGAACTGTAAAACTTTGCCTCTTGCTTGTGTTGAACTATAGTAGGTGTCTGACTTGCGTAGGGGTAGTTGGTTTCTTTGCAGGTGGTGAATCTTCTCACAGTGTTTGGTTTAATGCTTGTATAATAATACACAAGTTCAAAAACGTACTTTTCCTGTAAAAACGTGGAGAGATGTGCCTCTTTATGTGTTGGACGACTGCGTTGAATCCAGTCCTCCACAGATCCGGTGCACTCCTGCTCCTCTGCGCCTCCTTATGTAACTGTGGCCATCACTAACGATTACCTTCATGTGACAGAAACGCTTTTCTTTCAGCCTTTCATCACGGTCACGTTTGTTCTCTATATTAAAATTTTGTTTTTAATCCAAACTGATGGGACCAAAATGAAATGGATTTGGGAGCTAAAGAGGTGAAACAGTAAAAAGTGAATTATGTTGCCTGTTGAAAGGTTGAGATCTGTCTGCTACAGCTCATGTCAGAGTTTCTTCTCTGTCGGAGAACACGCGTGACGGTTTGCGTACATGTTGCCGGGCAGAGTCGAGGGGTTCAACAATTGAGATGGACGCCAGTGTGTGTTTTAGTGAAGACCTGTGACTTCCTGTAAGCTGCACATGCTGCATCGCAGGGACAGACGGTCCAGAACTGTAGCACGTCCAAAGTGGTCGGGAGGAATTGATCGTAGTCAAAAAGTGAACCAATAATTATCCCTTTAAAGAAAACAGGCTGCCATGGTGACCTGCGAGGAGGTGTTGACCTTCATTAAGATAATCTGATCCAACTAACAGTTTTTTTGGTGACAGAAAAATGTGTTGAATAGCTTTTGTACCAAATATGCTGCGCGTTGATGTTAGTCCTAAAACAACACGTCGTCAGTTTTCAAATGCAACGAAACACAAACCACTGTCCAGCATTGTTGTTTGTCATCTGGATTTTATCATCGTGACTTAACACACACACACGTCACGTACGGTATATATTTGATGCCTATAATTTGAATGTTTTATTTTTTTGTCTTTTTAGCCCTGTGTGCAGGATACAGATCAAGATATCCCTGATTTTTAAAAGGCAAAAAGGTCAATAAATGTGCTTCCCTTGTAACTTGAAGAAAGAAATAAACAACAACAAAAAAAAACCCATCAGTGTTGTTGTTGTTTACAGGTGGAGCAGGAAAAGTTGGTATGTTTTACATTTGTTCAGCTATTTTGTTGAACTTCAGGGTAAATGGACCAACTCGCCTCTACTCACTGTTCTGTGCCGGGTCACGGGGGAGAGCGAGGGGGGGGGGGGGGGGGGGGGGGGGGGGAGAGAGACAGACGATCTCGCCATCCGTTCCTGTTACCACACTTACAGAATTTACTCACAAACCTAACATACATGTTTTTAATCTGTGGGAGGGAACTGAAGAAAACCTCTGCATGTGGAGAACATGCCAGAAATATGTACAGTATGTATGTATATTTATTTCATACAGTTGTCATGCGGTGGGACTATGGAACTGTAAAAACTTCTGATGAGGTCAGTCTTAATGTTTGGTAAAGTGACTCATTTTAAGGAGCTTGGCTAAACGTGTTCCGAGTCCTTTTCAACCTGCTCTTTGGTTTTGGTTCATGTTTGTGTTAAAGCACTGCCGAGTCTTTAAAAACAGCTGAAGTTACACAAGTGAAGCCTTTGGGTTGCAACTCGAACAGCTGAGCGAGTGTTCGAAACACCGTTTCCCTCTCGTTGCTCGATGATCCTTTTGGTTCACGTTAATTTGGTCTTTTTCTGTTTTGATACATTTTTTGTTTCCACGTGCACCATCTTTTCATTCAATAACTTTGAGAAATTTAAAAGTTTCTTTGATTTGTGACACGGCTTGTCATCAACGGGTGATGGTCTGAATCCAGACCAGCTGAGAACCCCTGATTCTGATTATTATTGATATCATTAAAATGCTTTTATTCTGGACTAACAGACTAATCAATAATGATCAGTGTCTATTTTTAGTCCACTGGATGGCAGTATTTACTATCAAGATAAATTCTAATAACTTTTGCTTTTATGTCTAGAGGTCTGTAAATGTCTCATGTTGTATCTCATTGTTTATTTCATTTTTTTATTCAGTTCTAATTCAACAGTAAATGTTGCTCCACAGAACTCCTGCTGACATTAAATTTCCCCTAAAAGTAACTTTTTTGTTGTTGCCCTAAGTCTTCTGTTTAAATAAAACAGCTGCTGTTATTTCTTACATGGAAGATGTTCATTAGGAAATGTATGTCAATGAGGGTGAGAAATCAAAAAGAGCTTATTTTTTAAAAACATAAATCCTTTTTTTTCCTCTAATTTTTTGACCTGCTTTAATTTTGAAACAATTTTTGTTCATTGGATGTTAAAATCTTTTATATAAAGGCCATAACGACAAGTTTCAGAGTGAGCCTCATTTTTATCTTTTATCCAAGATCTTCTTGACTCCATGAAGGGATGAAGATGACGGAGTGATGCTCTGACTCAGAGCAGGAGTAGAATGATCCAATGAAATATTCATCGCTCTGAGCTTATTCTGGGCTCCAGTTGCAACATCAGTGTTTAATTTGGCTGCTTGGCCACTCTCAGTAATTGGAATTTTATTCATTGTGTTTATTTCTAGAGATAGTTTTTAAAAAGTGTCTTAAATCCATGAAATATTTGGCTTTTTTTGATCACCAGATTTCAACATTAATTTAAGGTTTGATTCAGACACTGATGGTTTAACACTTTAGAGCTTTTGACACGTGTTGGGAGTGATTGGAGTCGCATCATAAAAAAAAAAAAAGGATCAAACAGGAGTTCGAGTTATTCCAGAGTAACCCGAGACGCAGCAGGGTGAGAGGAGGACGCAGGGAGAGATGGAGACTCTGCTGGCCGGCTGCGCCTTCTTCATAATGTATGGAAAGGAACAAAAGGAGCGCGGCTGGATTTCAACCTTAACTTTCAAAAAGCAGAAACCCGAACCCTCTGCAGAACCGACAACAGCGGATTCACATCAGCTGAACGGATGATGCGTCTTTTTCCACCTGCAATCTGTCTAATAATCACCGACAGCAGGCAAATGAGCTCTTGAGAGACCCCTGTGTATAAAACAAGGAGACAGGAGGCCTCGATAGGAGAAACCTTCAGATCTGCGCAGGGAGGAGAGGGAGGAGGTGCCGCCGGTGGATGCTGGTGAGTTACCTGCTGCATAAAGGACATGGTTAGAAATCCTAAACTCAACCATAATCTAGAATCCTTTTACGTTTTAGTTTTATGTTAGTTGCACATTTGTTGTTAAAATGTATTAAACTAATTTAAGCAGAGGTAAATGATCAATCCAGAGTCCCGCATCTCCTGTTGTGAGGCGCGTCCTGCGCGTAAAAGGCGCGCCAGAAATGTGCCAGGCGGCCTGCCCAGAAGGAGAAAGAGGAGGGTGGCGTGGATTACTCCACTGGCAGTGGGTTAAGATGCTTACCAACTAATTACCTGGCCACCAGAAAATCCCCTGCTGCACAGGCTAAACAAGCAGAGAGCTGCGATGGACGGAAGACTGCAGACCTGCAGGGGCTGGAAAAAAGATCAAATTAGGCTGTTTCCTGTGGAGACGTTTTACAGCTGGATACTTCTCAGTGAAGAAGCTTGTTTTCTGTAAAGTGTTTGAAGACCCGGAGTTGTCTTTAAAAGGTAGGGGGAGAGGTTTTTAACTAAACTCTGAGAAAAGAGACAAGACAGCCACTGATGCTCAGTTTGTATGAAAGATGAAAGGATTTAGTTGTAAAGATGGAGATGAGTGAAAATCCAATTTATTTCCTTATCATGACTTTCAGCTTTGTCTCTCTCAGCTCCATTATCAGAAATTAGAGCAGGCGAACTACCAGGAGTGACTACAAACTCTCAGCTTCAACAACACACACACACACACACACACACACACACACACTCACACATACACACACTCAGGCTTTTTACTCTATTGATCTTTCCCGGAAACGGGAAGACGAGCCCTGCTTTGGGACCCATTTGGTGCATCTCAAAAATCACTTAGCACATCATTCCCTACAGCCAGAATCAATCTGACCTGCACGCCGGCTCCTTCACTGTGTTCACGGAGGCCAGAATACTACAAACTGTCCAGCAGCGGTCTATAAGTGGCGCTCGGAGTTTAAGCTGATTCTGATGAAGATTTACTCACAGAATGTGGGATCACCAGAGACGCCGGCCTCTCTGTGCAGCAGATGGCACAGGTGGATTTACTCGTGAGAGTTGGAGTTGAAGAAAGGACTCTTTGCATAATCCAGCAGAGGCCTCTTACCTCCCAGCACAAGAACTCCTACAACTTAAAAAAAACAAACAAAGGTCTGAATTCATGTTCAGGTTGTTTTGCAGTAATGTGGGACTTTACTCGCATCTCCTCCTGTTCTGTGTATGGCACTGGTAGAATTCACTGTCACAGCACACTATCAGTGAATTACCATAGGGCCATAAACAGAGTAGAGACAGAACCACACCGTCCGCCTCCGTGTCCTTCACATGAAAACACACACGTCAGATTCTCTTCGCTCATTTTGGCACTAGCACATTTTTGCTTTGTTTCTTCTCTGAGCAATCATGTGTAGTGCCAGCATGGGACAAGAGAGACCCTCAGCTGTGTCTGTCTTCAAGGAGTCTGTCTGCTGCTGGACACCATGACATCTTTTGTGCTTCATCTTTGAGAGGAAAACAAACGGAGCGGATATCAGATGTCGGAGGCTGTTTTGGAGGATGGGTCTCTAAGTTGCCGCTTCGTGTAACCTGAACCCCAGTTGGCCCACGGATCAGTTGGTGATGGCTGGTGCACTCTCCCACAGTGTTTGGCAATG